AAATGCTTTCTCTTTTTCGGAGTTTCTTGATATCTCCAAAATCTAGAATTTAAATCTTTGTAATCTTGCCTAAGTTAAAGATGAGATACGTCAAGTGTTACACTTTATCAGTTGTTCATCTGACCATTTTGAAAGAATCCTTGAAAACATAATCTGAACATTTTTACAAGATTTGGTTTCCACATCCCGGTTTAATGCGATCGAGGGATTTTTTGCTTTTATTCATACTGGTATGCTGAACAAAGATTTTTAGTTGTAATAAAAAGTCTTGTTGGTGAAATATGATTGCGGTATTGAACTTAAATTGATTTTGTGCTAACCATCTTTTTTTCTTTACCTCAAAAATGATCTAAAAGCATCCTAATGAAAAATTCCGTTCAGGTATCCCCTGGATTTCGCAGATCTTCAAGCCAAAAAATACGGAGATTCTTACCTACAGTATTCCCGCAGCAAACTTATGAACCACATGACTGCGTTCAAAATGGCTCGTGATAAATCTGATGGAGTGAGTGTGAATGTCTACGAGCCGGGTGTAATTGAGACTAAGTTACTCAGGTTGGTATCTGTAACAGCTTGAGTGAAAATAATGGAGGAAATTACTTAATAACTTTTACAGAGCGGGCGGCTATTCCGGTAGTTCCGTCAAAGACAGCGGCTTTGCTGCAGTTCATCTAACTACATCTGACGAGCTTAAAAACATTTCCGGAGAGTATTTTAATAACAAAGGGAAGGTAATACTTTTTTGCTCTCCAAAGTTAATTAGTGACTATTAGACCCCCTCTAAATCAGAAAATCTCGTCAAGTGCAGATGCCAAGGATGTTGCACAACAGGACAGATTATGGAAGATGAGTGAGGAGATTTGCGCCAAGTTCGGAATAACTTTTTAAGAATTTTTGGCGCATCTGCAATTGTCACGTTGCTTATCATTGTTAATAAACTTTATTTAGTTGTGTTACATAATATATTTACAATATATCTGTAGGTAAATTGTACTCCCTTTTAGCTTTAGATATGTTTCCCTCGTATTGGAAGTTTATATTTGCCCCTAGTTATCGAAAAATTGATGTCGTCTGCAGAAAGTTATCATTTTCATAATTCCGAAGAACGAACTATCATTTCGTATGTTAAACCTTGAAAGTTTGGGTAATTAGATACATAAACATGGCTCTTCTCGCCTTCACTAGAGCGAAGAAAGGATAGAGCCCACCTAAGAAAGTCTGAGTAACTTAGCATTCAGAGCGCCATGGACACTAAATACTGAGAAATATAAAAATGGGAAGAAACAGTTTTTTGCATTATCATAACGAAATAAGATCAAGAGATCAACACACAAGAACTGTGAATATTATGGAATTTAACGAAGAATTTATTTTTTATGAAAAACGAAGTGGTTTAGTTTTTCGGATGTAAAATGTAAGTGCTGCTTCGCTATGACTACTTTGTAAACTTCGAAGGCATACATTTTTTAAAAATAGCTACTGTGATCCAATTAAAGTAC